ACACTAGTGTTTTGCTAAGTACATAACACAATGACAATGTGTACTTGTTCACTTTCAAGATACAGTCTTCAGTAACCCTTCCTTCTGGTGATATAACTTTGCTGATTCTCCCAATGCTCCCTATTACCCATCCCAAATTAGCTAATCCCAACCACCAAGTTCCAAAGCCAGAATTAGAATTAGCAAAAGAAACAGTTTCTGTATATTTTTCTGACAGTCATGGTAAAAAAGAGGACAAGATGCTGCTGCTCTTTGCTTAGCATGTTTATAAAATGAGCAACATTTCAGAAGCAGCAAAATCTGCCTATGGCATGTTCCAGTCTGGGGCTTGCCACAATATAGTTGATAACGTATCTGCGTTTGTTGATGTCCATCTTTTCATACCCCAGGAATAAGGAAAGAACAACACAATAAAGAATCTAGGGTCTTGCAAAATTCAGGCAGACACAGGGGATATACCATGTGCAACTAGTTGTAGAAATAATCCCTCTTGAAGGTCTTCCACTTCCTGGGAGAAAGCAGATGCCCAAAGAACGTGCATATAAGCTCTCCTGCCAACACCCACAGTAACAGTAACAGCACTTCTAAGTAACACAGTTTAAAGCAGCAGGGAGTGTATGTTATCAACTTCAGGAAACTTGCAGTCACAAATATATACTCAAACAAGGGAAACTGAGGGGCAATGCTATCCTGGGCATTAAGGCTTGTAATTCAGTCCATCAGTATTATCTTGTACTTTGAAATTATAGATTCTTTCTTTACTAGAGTGAGCTTCAAGATTTTAAAGAGTAACATCAGGTAAACTCAATCCAGACCAAGATATGTTGCCATCAAATCTGCTAGTTCCAAGACAACAGTAGTGCTGCCACAGCCAACAATTCCTTGGCATAAAGACATGTTAAAATGATATTGGCAGCAGCACCGGCTCTTCTCTTTCACGCTCTGCTGTTACTATAGCTCCTTTTGCTAAATCTGCCTCTGAGTTTAGACAGGAGCTGGATGGTTCATAATCACCCAGCAGCTGCAGCTGAGCAATACTCAGCCTAATTGTGGCGCTGGAGCAGCTGAGGGGAAGAAAAGCGGTAATACATACCCTACCACAGCCACACATAAACTGCTGTACACACTACCAATAAGATACCAAGATACTTTAATAGGAGCAGATTATTTCCTTTAAAGAAAAGCTGTTGTACTTCCCTGGAAGAACTCTGGGAATTATAAATTATAAATCTGTTTAAATGTGTGTGAACTGAAGGTGACCTAAGCCATGTAGAGCTCCGAACAATGGAAGATCTTAACTAAAACTTCCTGTAAATATTCACATAACAAAGCCAGTGCCACAAACATCACCTTTATAACGACTGAAAGTTCCTGTGATATAAGAAACTGATACAGACGTGATCTCTTTAACTCTACATTACAATGGTGCAAACCACAAAGCAACAAAATCAACAACTAAAACAGCAAGCCATTACATAAAGCAAGTAGCAAAATATAATCGTTCTGAGCATTTCGGAAACTCCAGCACCATACTGTCATTTGCTTTCTTGAAACAAAACATACTCTTCCGTTAGGTGCCATATGGCACATCTTCATAAAGCTTAAGTAAACGAAAACTTAGTTTATACTGAGAATTTCATGACATCCTCAAGAATATCAAAACTAAGGCATAAATTACTGATCTAAGGAATTACTGTTACAGAAAACAGAAAATGATTAAAAGTCAAGACATACTACTTTGATGTGATAGTTTTGTCATTTACAAAACTTTATGACATAGAAGTTATACTATATATTTGATATCAGAATAGTATCCATTAGTTTAATAGACATTCTGATTACCTACTATTTACCACTTATAAAATATAAGCTAAAGAGGATTTAAAATTAGTAAAATCTGGCTTCTTCTCTCAAAATATTAACATAATTAACATGTTATTTATTTGTCAAAGTAGTTACATACCTAGCTGGAATATGACAATTATGATTTAATAAGCTAATCCTGTTTGCAAAGGGCAGCCCAGGTGATGTTCTAAAGCCAGTCACTAAATGTTAAGTTCTTTACCCAAGTACCTTGTATAGTACATAGCACACAGGCTTCTTAAAAAAAAAAAAAAAAAAGTTTTATGTAAACTAAAACAGATACAGAAAAACACACAGAAGAAATAAATGTATGGCTTAGTGAATAATGAAGGCTAACACCCTTGCTTGCAATCACCATCAGGTTAAAACTTTGTCACCACTTTAGAAGCTAGGACTCAACTGCAACATTCTCCCTCCTCCCATATTTTTACTTTTATAGAAATCATTTCCTTGCAGGATTTTTTTTAAATATAGTTTTATTTCCCAAGTTTGCATTACCAGACAACAAAGCTTAGTATAACTGCTTTCAAATTTTTTGATATTAGGCTTTTTTATTAATTGAAGTATAACTGGGATATACAATATCCTTACTAGTTTCAATTGTACATCATGATTTGATATTTTTATACATTATGAAACAATCTCCCCTCCATAAGTCTAGTTACCATTTGTCACCATAGAAAATTACTATATTATTACTGACTGTAGTCTCTATGCTATACCTTACATTTCCATGACTTACTTTGTAACTGCAAGTTTGTATCTCTTTTTAATATAATGCTAATAGGAACTAACAAATGACACCTACTGTGCACACTAGACTGAGAGTTAAGTATGTTTATAAAGTAAAATTCCTCATGTTAACAAATTATTTACTGCCTAAAAGGATGCAAATTTGGACTCTGTATAAAATCGTACACCATGGGTTGGTAATATTTCACTTATACTGGACCACTGCTACCCTTTTAGAATATTTATTCTTTAGCATTACATACCATGAAGGAGATTTATTTGCATGGATGTTGATTTTCAGCTTGTGAATTTCCTGAATTAAAAAAAAAAACTTAAGCCATGTATTAATATTATACTTCAGCCATAAGACAAATTCCACCTATCCCAGGAAGACAGGTCAAAGCCGTAATTTCACTTTCGGCTGAATAGAAAGGAGACAATTTTGTGGTTTATGAAGTCAGCAAAAACATACGGCAAAATTAAAGCTATTATAACATGATGGTAGTTACAGCAAAGTACATATTTTAAAAGCCCTTTTATCTTTTATTCTGAAAACATGGATATGAACTCTCTTGTATTCAGATCCAGATCAAAGGTAACTGTTTTGTTTTTCAAATTCAGGACCCTATGAATTGTCAACCAGCATTCAAAATCTCCACTGAGGTTTATTTAGGTAATGTTCAAAATGTAAAATAATTGGGGCGCCTGGGTGGCTCAGTCGGTTGGGCGGCTGACTTCGTCTCAGGTTATGATCTCACGGGTCAGTGGGTTCTAGCCCCATGCCAGGCTCTGTGCTGCCAGCTAGCTCAGAGCGTGGAGCCTGTTTCACTTTCTGTGCCTCCCTCTCACTCTGACCCTCCCCTGATCACACTGTCTCTCTTTCTCAGAAATAAATTTTAAAAAGTTAAAAATTTTTTAAAATAATTAAACTTCCTTAAGTCAACTATGACAGAGGTCTCATATTAGTCAAACAAAACATGTATGGCTTAGTGAAATACAACTTTCTTACAGAATATATGAAAATCCTGTATGATACACACAAGATCCTCATTCTATTACAAGATGCTCCTTCATTAACTTCCCATTCAAGGTGTTTTCTGTCCACTGTGTGCCACTGCCCTAGTTATTAGATTTACCAGGTACTATGTGGTAAGTGGATACAGTTACACATACACATTTAGTAATACTTTCCTTACTATGTAATTTAACTTTAGAAATTTAACAGGATACTTTGAATATATTCAGAATTATCAAGATACTTTTAGCACTGTAATCCTACAGCTACAAGGACACAAATATACTACTACAATCATATGTATGTACATGTGAAACCATGTATGTGAAAGCACACCATGAAACACATATACATAATGCATGAACATAAAATTGATTCCATTTGACTTCTCATTTCTTTGTTAATAATTTACAAATTGTTAGACCGTATGTTATGCCATGCCTATTAATTACGCAGAAAATAATTGAACCAAATCCTAACTATGTTGTATCTCACTCACTACAAAACAAAAATTAAAGCAGTTCCCCCACAGGACTTGATTTTCCACTCCCCACAAAATCCAAATTAAAGCAATCCCTACATCGGACTTGATTTTCCACTTACTGCAAAAAAAAAATTAAAGAAGTCTCTACATCGGACTTGGTTTTCGAAGAGCTGCCCCATGCCCAATGAAGCAAAAGCTGGAAGCAATTATCAAGAAGAAAAGCACACTTTAAAACAAAATTTTCTGTAGCACGCGGACAGAGAACCGAACCAAATGGGAGAGTGCCACAATACTGTAAAAGTGGATGCAGAATGGCATACTTCCCAACCCCCAACCCAAAACAAAGGAAAACTTTAACATGTTGCGGTTTTCAATCAAACCAAGTAAAGCGAGAGGCTCACCCACTACCCCCTCCCCCCCCCCCCCCCCCCCCCCCCCCCCCCCCCCCCCCCCCCCCCCCCCCCCCCCCCCCCCCCCCCCCCCCGCACAGTTGCCACTCCGCGTCAGCTAACATCCAGACCCTCAAAGCTCCGGGACCGAAAGGGGCCGCTGCCCTCCGCCCTCACTCAAACAGAGTGAGCCAAAATTAACCTAGCCCCCAGGCAGGGGTGGGAGGTTCCCTACTGCTCCAAGGACCTTCAGCCGGACTTGGGCGGGACCGGGAAGGACGGGACGGGGCGGAGACCCAGTCAGGGTGCAAGCAGGTAGCGCCGGGAAGGAGACACGCCCGCCGGGCGAGCTGGGTCGGGGGAGGGGAGAAGTTTCTCCCCAACTTCCCGACTCAGAGCCTGCGGGGGCGGGGGACGGGGAGCGCGGGCGCCTTCGGGCGCTGGCGGCCGCCGGGGCCTAGCGCTGCCCGGGCCGGGGTCGGCCGCCTCCGCCAGCGGGGCCCCGCCGGGTCCTTACCTGCCGTCCAGTCGCGCTCGCATGAGTCGCTGCTGCCGCGGCTCGGGGTGGCGGCGGGCGGAGGCGAGGCCCGCGGGGCCCTCTCCCTCCTCCACCTCCTCGTCCCGGGCTCCCGGCTGCAGCGACGACGGCACTGCTGCCCCACACTCGTTACTTCAGGAGGAGGGAATTCCCGGGCTCCCCCACCCTTCGTCCTCACTCTCCACCTCCACTCAGCGCAGCGCCCGCCCTCACCCCCGGCTCCGCCCCTCCTCGGCGGGGGCGGAGCCGGGGGTGAGGGCGGGGGTCTGCGGCTACCTGTGCGCGCGGCCGGCCTGCTCACCGGAACTCGCGCCGCGCCCGCCCGCGTTAGAGCGCCCCCCGCCTTCCGGCGCCGGCGCGCGCTCCGCGGGATGCGGACCGTTCCTCCGCGGTCCCCGTCGGCTGCTGGTCCGAGTCACTCCTCCGGACCCAACATGGCGGCGGGGTCCGGGGCGGATTCCCGTGGAGGCGCCGGCTGAGGGGGCGTGAGGAGGAGGCGCTTCTTGCTTGCGGAGAGCGGACCCACAGCGCCCCCTCCCCTTCCGCGGACCCTTCGGCCGCGCACTCGCCTACCCCGAGAGGTGGAGAGAGGGGCACAGCTTCCGCTCCCTCAGCCTTTCTCGGTTCCCTTCACCCGCTCTAGCCCTGCCGAGGGCTATGGGGTTTGATTTTGGGGGTGGGGGGGGGAGATGACAGGGCTGAGTTATTTTGGTTGACTGTTTGCTTTTTAGTACTGCCCTTCCGCACCCTTTTGTCACTGATAGTAAAATCTCAGCCCAACCGCATGAGCCGGGGGGGCGTTACTAACTCTCTCATCACCCTCCTGATCGCCGTCCAAAAACGCTCGAGTCTGGCCTTCTTCCGAGCCACGGATCCTGTCCCAACCCCTGGAGCTTCCTGTTGACTGTTGGTCGAACCAGCCTTGCCGGGAGGGGGGACCAAAGCCGGGTTCTCTTGGCGACTCTCCCAGTAATGGTGACCTTGGCTTATCTGGGGACAACGTATTATATGATCCCGGCAACTTCCCAGTGAGGTACAGGTATTAGTATCCTGTTTGACAACTGTGGAAACGGAGGCTGCGACCCCGAAAGTGGAGCACAGAACTAGAATTCTGCTAATCCGAATACAAGCACCTTTCCTGTCTGCCTTGTAGCCGTCTAGTCGCTGAAGGAGAAGGGAGAGGATCCAGAGAAGGAACTGGGATAAAGATGAGGGTTAGTCAGTGTCGGACCAGGCTGAATCTTGAGACTCTTCTGCTAAAATCACTTCTGCCCCATCAGACTTGTAGATTAACTTCCTCTCTGTATTTCCTGTTTGGTGGGGTTATCAGAACTACTAATGTGGGTCTGTTGGTTTCCTTTGTGGTTTTCAGCAAAAATCAGAATCATCTTTGACAAATACGAAATGGTACAATCATGTGTGTCAGTATTCTGGTATTCTAGGAACTTAGGAAATGCATATAAAGTTTGAAAATCTTTTTTCTTCAGCTAAGTGAATCAAAGGCAGAGATAGGCACTCACATTAACAAAAAGGTACACCTAATATGGCATGGTACTTTATTTGATTTAGCTACTAACAACTCATTTGTTCTTAACTGTATTTGGGATTAAACATTTTCATGTAGATTTATATTCAGCTTTTTTTAACTTGAAAATAAATTTGAGCTGTTACTTTTCTAAACTTCTAGATTAAATGCAGATAATATTTTTGTTGTCCTAAATGCTCAGCCTTAAAAACCTAACTCTAAAATTCTAGTTTACCCTAGTATAAGGGATGAGGTGGCTTAGAAGATGCTCTGTATAGAGTTTTAAAGGTGGGAAAGGATGTCAAAATCCCCTATATGTTATATTAACTTATCACTGAGTCTCCTTCTATTCACTCTCCTTTTGATTCTTTTTGTTACCTCATTCCCTGTTTTCTCTTTTGGAATATTAATCTACATTGTCAAGTTTTAGTCTGTAAATAAACTGGAGACTTCAATCTTGAGACTCAATGGCTCACTTATTTCCAAGAATATTTAAAAAGACAACAAACCAAACAACAAAAAAAACACCACAACCACCAGCAACAAAAGTCTCTAAAGCCTTACTGAGTTTGGTACAATAGAAATCACTTTTAAGTGCAAATCTGCTCATTCAAGACATAGACAAATGATGCGCACCCCTGTGTCTCTCCCACACAGCACAGAGTTCTGGTATGTATTTGTTAAGGAGTGATAAGGGACCTAAGTCTTGGAATCCCTGGGAGAGTCTGCTGGTTTAGGAAGCTAGGGGAATGCTTGAAACAAAAGGAATGACATATGTTAAGTCTCTACAGAAGTGGAATGTATCATTTATTCAAGTTTATTAATACTTAGTGTTCTGACTGACAAGGTTTAGCTGTGGCACATTCGATCTCACCCTAGATCATGTGATTTTGCCAGAAAATGTTTGTGTTTAGGACAAATTTCCTACCAGCTGCTGCTCTCATCACAGGCTGTGATGATGCTTTTCTTTTCCTGATAACTAGAAAGCCTGCAGTCCTACACAGGGTGCATGCACTGGTCACTACTCTAATTATCATCCCACTACAAACCCCCCCCCCCCCCCCCAATGCCTTTTCCTGGACTTGTGCCAGCCACTAAAAGCCTGGATCTTCTCATGTCTACTCCATGCCTGAAGTTATCTACACCACTTTAGCCTGGTCATAACTGCCCCTAAGCCCGATTAGGAAGAATATGAGGACCCCTCCAAACAAAGATCTGGAAAATCAGGCAAACAGGAAGTATTTATCATTGAATGTAGGTTCATTGTGCCAAGCTTAGGGAGAAATGCAGTAATCCATCAATTTCTCCTGATGCCTTCTTTGTCTCAAGGACTGGTGTTCCCCTCATTTGTGCAAGGTCCAAGAGGACCAATTCATTGTACGTGTAAGGATACATCCTATACTGAGTAGATTAACAAATGCCAATCTTACATAAAATTCAGCAAATCTAGCTCATCTTTTTGCTCTGTTTTGTTCTCTACAGCTTCTAAACTTCTTGATTACTTGGTTTAAAATATTAGAATTACACCCTGTGCCTGGTGTGCCTCCCCAGCTCCAGGACTATTTTTTGAATGTTTAGTCTTTGGAATCTACTTTGGGGTTTGTTTCTCTAATTTACGTTCTTTCTAGTGCTTCTGCAAGTTGGTCCCAGGCCTGTTACATCTAGCTAAAACAAAAACAAAAACCTAATTTCTGCTCCAGCTCCTCCTGGTACCCACTCTACCTACTCCTGGTACCTTTACCTATAATTTTAAACACACAGCACTTTCTGTGTTGGATGGCGCATGACATTTTCTCACATGCCCTCTGCCTATCAGAATATAGCATGAGGCAGAAACCTTTTGAGGGTAACTTTTTTTTTTTTTAAGTTTATTTATTTTGAAAAGCAGAGAGGGAGAGAGAATCCCAAGCAGGCTCTGCACTGCCAGCACAGAGCCCTAAATGGGACTGGAACCCATGAACCATGAGATCATGACCTGAGCTGAAACCAAGAGTAGGACCCTTAACTGACTGAGCCATCCAGGCGCCGCTTAATGTCATTCTTTAACTCAAGTTCCTTTTCTCTGAGAACCAATCCTTTACCAATAGCTGGAGTGTAACCCTGTGATCCAAGTACCACTATTCACAGTTTTCAGCTTGAAATTTGAAATTTTGAGCGAGTGACAAAAAGTTGACTCAGTGATAATTCATGGTGGCTGTGGTGTTGAGACTTTAGTAGCAGAGGATTGATGTCTAGGGGTAGGGGAGTCCAGTAGCAGTAGGCAAGCACCTAGTGCTGATGGTGTCTGCATCCTAAGCAGACCATCCCTAAGTCAGGACCTGGACCCTGACCCACCTTCCATGGCTCCTCCCTGAGTGTGCTCCACCAATCTTCCTGTCCCTTCTCTGAACTTCCAAATTAAAATCTCTTTCTGCTTAAATTAAGTACAGACTTCTGTTCTTTGCAAATGAAAACCACTACTTAGTTCCTGCTACTTCTTTGTGCTACTAACTGGAAACTCAGGCACTGCAAGGGAAACATCTCCTGTCTCATGCACACAGTGGGGGTAGGCAAGGGATGGAGGTACTTGTTTTCAGAGAGAGCATGAAGTAGATACATGCATGGTGAAAAGGAGGCATAAGATATTATGTAGGACCTCAAGCTGTCTCTAGTTGCCGTAAGCCGCATGTAAGACCATAAACATAGAACAGACCTGGCAAATGAGTCTCTCTCCTGCAGGCTCAGGGCAATCATTGTTCTTAGATCACAGCATAGTACAGACTCTTCTTCCCAGAGCACTAACTCCCATCCTCTAAATCCTCAGCACAATTCAGGCAGCAAACACCTAAGATTAGTGTTAGATGTTGAAATTCATTTGATATCTCTGTCCTACAGGCTTGTAATTTCCTCCCAAGATCTATATTTGCAATATCTGTAGCCATTACCAAGTGTTTGGCCTTTACTTTCCTGGTACATTAAGCTAGTGTGTGGTCGTAATATGTCAGAGTCTCTGACATTGAGTTTAAGCACTACTAAAATTGCTACCAGATTGCCATATCCTGGAAATCTTTACAAATGGGTTATGAAAAGTAGAACATAACTTTGCTTGAAGGCAAGAAGTTAAAGTTAGAATGTTTACCTACATCAAAGTCTTGGAAAACAAACTATAAATCAGGCATGCTCTTATCTCTTAAGTTAACTGACATCAGATTATAAAACATAAAGGGCTGGGTATCTGAGGACTTGTTATTGTTCAATATTTTACAAGCTAACATTGTGGTTGGCATTTAAAAAAATATGTTGAGAATAAATGTATGCTTTTCAAAACCTTTAATATCCTTTCTAAAACTAAATCTTTTTGTATTTTCTGTGCTATAGATAATTATTTTTCACATTTTTAAAAATTAAATGAAATCTGAGCAAATTAAAATCTAACCAGATTTTATTATGTGATATAAACCATGATGCATTTAATCCTTTAGTAATGTGTATTGACACTCCTTTTGATTTGTGTATAAATAGGGTTTTGAGTACTTAAAATAGCTACTTAATTTTTCTTCTTTCTAAGGGAATAACATACGCAACAAGATCTATGTTTTGGTGAAATGTGAATGAGATGATGAGATTGGAAATGCAGATACCAGGAATGATAACAACAGCA